TCGCACGCTGCACAGACAGAAGGTGGACAACAGAAACCACGAAATGGACAGGCCCATCAGGCGCAAGGAAAGTCGGCAGACCAAAACAACGCTGGAAAGACGATATCGTACAAGAAGTGGGAAAAGAATGGATGGATAAAGGGAAAGATAGGGACTTATGGAAAAGGTTGGAGGAGGCCTATACCCAGAATGGGGTCCAGTTACTGGAATAAAAAGGCTAAAAAAAAAAAAAAAAAAAAAAAAAAAAAAAAAAAAAAAAAAAAAAAATTTGTCATGGTTCTGTAAGTCATTATTTATTTGAGAAAACATTGTTTTTAATTAGTATATATCTATAAATCTATCGATTCCGACTTCTATGAGAATAAAAATCGAAAATCGAAAAGATTCATGCCTGATTTTACACAACCCATCCCTACTAAATTCCCAAAAAATTGTCAAACTAATCTATCTTATTTAGACAAACTATAATAACATTACATGTGATTGTAATATTGAGGTTCACCATCTATTTCTACGGGATCCCATCATCAGATTATCATATGCAGGCAATGGTACCATCTTGGAACTATACTATATTGAATAAAAAAAGAATTTTTCAAATCGGTCCAGCCGTCTTCGAGTAATCGAGGAACATACGAGTATCTATACTAATATAAAGAGGAAAGATTTGTATTTTTGTATGTATTGGGATAACTCAAAAACTACTGGGCCGATTTCAGATTACTTTCACCAATAAAAAGCTACGTTACCAATGAGTAATATAGACTATTTTTTTATTATTTATTAATTTAATGCGAACGAAAACGCAATCATTTTATAAAAGTATCAAACAAATGTTTTTAAATTACATTATACTTAAATCTGCTTATTTTTTGCTTACATAATTTCAGCTTTCGTTTAGGAGTTGCTATAAAAATCAAAGTAAGGATAAACGTCCTCTTTTATCGACTATTCCTGCTTTTTGCATCCAGGAAATAAACCTTCTGTTCTGCTGCATATCAGCCTTCCTCCCTCCCACGCAGTGTGAAAGAGGCCTCGCGTGCCATACTGTAAAAAACACAATCTTATTTATCACACTTATAAAAGTAAATTAAAAAATATCTTATATGACTACCGTATTTATTATCTTTTTATATCTATACTATTATAATAAAGCGTAAACGCACACTTCTTTGTTGTCTAAGATGTCAGCAATTACAGCATATCTTTGAATAATTCTTTTTTTAATAAATAGCCTTACACTAAAGTCACGCTTTAAAGTATATATTTTCACGCCATTAAACTTGGGGGCTAAATATTTTGGATAAAAACCCTAATGTGGGAAAGAGACCACAAGTTGCTGCCAACATCAAGGAAGCATGCCATGGTTTGTCATCGTCATGTCATTTTGACATTTGCAATTGATAATTTGACACATGTAAACAATAAAACAAAATTTCCATAATTTTATGCGGATGAAGTCGCATGGGAACAACTAGTCTTCCAATAAAAGTCCCGACACATCGGTCAAGCGGTATCCAAGATTACTCGGAACAAACACAAGACAGACGAAATTTTTTTTAATTCGATTATCGTTATACTCAACGCAAATACATCACCTTTGCGAAATTTAGAATTTTTCTTTTAATCTACCTATACTAATATTCATAGTCATCATCTCCTCTGCCTTATCCTACTCCGGGGTCGGCGCACCGGGTTTTCGTCCTCCAAAGCAATACACTAATATTATAAAGAGGAAAGATTTTTATTTTTGTATATATTGAAATAACCCAAAAATTACTGGGCCGATTTTTTTTTTATAATATAAGGTGGCAAACGAGCAAGCGGACAGTAGAATCCGCCAAAATGGTAAAGCGACCGCTGCCCATAGACATCCGCAATTGCAGATGCGTTGCCCACCCTTATACGACGGAGGAGGAGATGCACATAAAGATGATAAATCCCCTTCCTATGCATCTCCTCCACCGTCAAATCCACTTCCCCTTCCCAACCTCTCCTTATAAGAAGAGGGTGGAAAGAGATAGGGACTTAAATTAGGCCTCCGGCACCACACTCATCAGACGAAACACGGAATTGCTTCCATTTCACGCCTGTATTCTGTGTGGTCGTGGTATTACACCGGGCGTGCCGGCCCTGCAGTGCTAAGATGTTAAAGCGGACACTACCACTGTTAATAACATCATCATCAACTTCCCCTTATCCCTTATAGAGGGTCCGCACAGTATGTGTTCGTCTATACATCTCTATCAGCCGTCATATCTGAATCCACTCCTTTCTTAAGCATATCCTCTTTCACACAATCCATACTTTCTTCGGTCTTCCTCTACCTTTGTAGCCATCATTCATTCTTAACACTTTCTGGTTTATGTCCCCATCGTCTCGTGTTAATTAATTTATTTGACGTCTAAAATTTATAGTTGACTAGCTGATGCTCGTGACTTCATACGGGTGGAATTAAAAATTACAAAAACAAAACCGACTTACAAACAAAATACACGAAAAACAAAACAAAATACACCAAAAACAAAGTATTCTCAAAAAAACAGTACACTAAAAAGTAACGAAATCATTCCTTGAAAATAGTAAACCTACCTTATTGTAGCTGTTATGTCTATATTGTACAATTATTATTACTTTGATGTCGGTGTCAGCCAAGGCATGCAGTGATATTTCTACGAAAGGGTTTCCACATTTTTACCATAACAATTGACAATTGAAAGTATAGTAACAATTAAGTAATGAATCTACATTGACTTATCTTACTAATGGTGAAAGAATTTTTAAAATTGGCCCAGTAGTTTTTGAGTTATGTCAATACATACATAAATACAAATCACTATAATACTAGTATAGACTAGTATAGATGAAATTCGCAATTTCACGGTGGCACAACAAAGGCTTAAAGAACCCTTTGTATGGTATTTCGATTGTTCCAGTGTTTGTACAGCGACAATTCATTTTTGTCCATCCGTACGTGCTAACCTAAACCAAACAGTGGTTAGGGAAAAGAAACAACTGGACGGGGGGTCGTATCGACCGCACGCTAAACCCCCCGAGCTACTGATCTCGGCTGCGAACTTATAATTGAGCTAGCTTTAGCCCGCGACTTCATTCGCGGCATTTAAATAAACATAATAAGTCGACTATGTCATCTACATTGAGAACACGCAGCCGTTCTGGAGATAGCTTCAATATCATACATTTACGCGTTGTTAAAGATGTAAAAATTGCTGGTCCATTTTATAAAATGACTAACTATCGCACAACTGTTTAGTCTAGCACTGATTCCTATGAGCTAATATGGAGGGGCACTACTAGATTTTTAGTTGTCCAACTAAACAATTGAATTGGCTGCGAAACAATCGACAATCGCACAACTGTTGTGTCATCTATACTTACTAATATAATAAAGCGTAAACACACTACTTCGTGGCGTAGGATGTCAGGAATCACAGCATGTTTAAATAATTATTTCTTTAATAAGCCCTAGACATATGTCACGCTTTAGGCTATATATTTTCACGCTATTAAACTTAAGGGGGTAAATAAATTGGAAAAAACCTTCATGTGAGAATAATAACCATAATCTACAAGCTGCCAACATTAAGGAAGCAAGGTTACTATGGTAATTTTGTCGTTTGCAATTGAAAACTTTATCATCATCCACTTGCCTTTATTCCTTACGGAGGGTCGGCACAGTATGTGCTGCTCTTCCATACATCTCTATCAGCCGTCATATCTGAATCCACTCCTTTCTTAAGCATATCTCCTTTCACACAATCCATCCATACTTTCTTCGGTCTGCCTCTTCCTTTGTAGCCATCCACATTCAATCTTAACACTTTTTTGTTTATGTCCCCATCGTTTTGCATAACATGTCCAAACTAAGCTAACCTTTTGCTTCTCAATTTGACAAATGTAAACAATAAAATAAAGTTTTTATAATTCCAACCGGATGAAACCGCACGGGAACAGCTAGTGGTTTAGACAAAGGTGTACTGCTCTTAAACTTACCGATTCTGTACAAGCAGGAGTTAAAATCCAATTTACAATGATTAGCGAAGACCCGCATCTGTCCGTTGGAGGTGATAGCACAGCGCGGGTCGTACTCATCTGTGCAGCTTACTGGACAGGAGTGCGAGCAGAATTTGCCGTCGATGTCAATCATTAGTGACCTAGAAAAACAAACTTTTTTAAACATGGTAGATTCCGCTTTAACATCTTCACAGGAATGGGCTAGCTCGCCATGTGTAATATCACACAGAAGACAGGCGTGATGTAGGAGCAATTCCGCCTACAGTCTGCTGAGTGTGGCGGCGGAGGCCAACATTGGTCCCTGTTCCTTCCTACCATTTTTCTCATAAGAACGGGATGGAAAGGGTTCCTGGATTTGACGGTGCAGACGCATATGAAGGGGATATATCCTCTTTATGTGCGTCTTTTTCTCCGTCGATTAAGGGTAGGCATCGCATCCGCTATTGCGAATGCCTTGGACAGTCACTTCGCCATTTTGGCGGATTCAGGTGCTTGCTCGCTTGTCAACTCATGATGAAAAAAAGAAAGATTAGCGATCTTTAGTCCAGATGCAACCATAGGTTCCACCACAAAGCAGGTGTTTCGAAACCAGTAATATTTTGTTAGTAGAAAAACAAAATACACCAAAAACAAAATATTCTCAAAAAAAAACAGTACACTAAAAAGTAACGAAATAATTCCTTGAAAATAGTAAACCTACC